GCTCCCTGCTCCGTTTGTCCCCAAGCGCATTAGGCTCTGAATTTACAGTCCTTCCATGTAAGAGCAGGTGACGTCTGTTGTCAGTGTTGTCTGTAGCACAGGCCCTGGTGCCTTTCTCTTCCAGAGGTCTCTAAGGGTCCTGGCTGGGGACCTCCAGGAACAGAAGACAGAAACCGCTTTCTCCAAAATAACTCTGACTAAATCTCCTTCCAAGACAGTCTTCCCGCAGGAGGATGCTTGACAAGAGTGACTGAAAAAGAGCTCAAGAAATACTGAGCATGAGAAGCACAGGTCAGAGTTGAGGCACTCGGCAGAGCCTCCCGCTGCCCCGTTGGCGGCGCTGCCCCTTCACTGTTCAGAAGCAGTTCACGGACCTTGCAGCTCAGAGCTACTGCTGAACACTGAAACGCGCTCGTTGTGCGACAGCCGCCACCGCCACAAAGCTGTCGCTCCTGGAGACGCGCGTGGCCGCTGGGCTCCTCGTGAGTCACGGCTGGCTCTGGAAATGCCAGCCAAAAACTGCCTCTCGGTACCACGGGCGGCTCCAGGGTGATTCACGTGTTACGTGTGCAGCATCACCGCGTGTGTCCGGATGGCGTTCCCGCTCCGTGTGTGCTGTCCTGTGACCGGCATGGCCACCCGTGTCATTGCTCATTGTGCGTGGTCACCTCCACCTCTGCCCATCAGCCGGGGATGCTGCTGCTCAGCCAGACCTTAAGCTAAACGTGAGCAGAGGTTGACTCAAGCCAGAAGCATGTGAAGTGTCAACACGTTTCCAATATTGGGATCCAGCTCATTCAGCCAAGACTCTGGGTTAGGGGGCGCTTTGGGGTTTTTGTTTGTTTGTTGATCTTAAAGCAAAAAAAAAAAAAGAAACAAAAAGTACATGCCAAATGTATCATGTGAAGCAGAATTTGAGATGCAAAACTGAGTTTTTCAGGTGCTGTTCTGGAAACCCACAACTGCTTTGTATTTCTACAGATCTGAAAGAGAGAGAGAAGAAAAATAAGCCCTTTAGGCATTTAGCTCCTAGGGTAAAGCTATCTCTTTCTATATAAAATCATCAATTAATTCTGTTTCGGTTAAATGGTGTAACATTTCTGGTGCAAGCTTTCAGCCACTGCAGAAACAACCCCCTGTTTCCTTGTAGGCTTTTTGTCTCTTCGTGGTGTCTAAACCCGTGCACGAAGCAGCCAAGGGAATTGCCCCTGGGGAGCTGCTGAGAAGCTGGAGATTGGCCCTTTCCATCCAGCTGAGACCTGTGCTGCTCCGGAGGGAGCCGGGGGCGCAGGGCGGCTACGGGCGCTGCAGCCGC